TTTCTTCTTGCTGCAGTTTTACCTTCATCCAACATGAAGTTTCATGGTGAGTTCACCACCATTAACAAAAGTGGACGATCCGTCTCGTTTAAATCCGTCCAACAGCAGGATAGGGCAGAACGGGCCAAATTAAGTGTCTGAATTCAAAAGTCAAATCCGTCCCGTTTACTAACGAATTGGTGGGTCGATCCATAATTTATTTTATTTTTTATTTATAATTTAATTTATTACATAATTTACAAAAAAAAATTAATTATTACCAAAAAGGCCAACAAAAAATAATTTTTAACAACGAATTATAGAATTTTAATATGTTTTAAGTCCAAACAGTTTAAAAATAAAAATAAATAAAGAACGATTATAAGAAAAACATAACAAAACAAATTCAAACGCAATAAAAAAGCGTATCAAAATAAATAAATAAACACAACATATCATCTTAATTCTATTTTAAAATTAACTGCTAAAATAATCCAATTGATAATTTCACAAGACAAACAATGATAACAACTGCAATGCATAAAACATTAAATTGCATGAAACAATAGGACAAAAAATATAAACACATGACTTTCTCATTGTTCATATCATATAAAGTTTTATATTGACTGATTCCTTAATAGTTATATCATAAAGTTGTCACTAGTATACACTAATAAAATCATTTTTTCCCCTTAAAATCAACCTTTGTTTCTAAAGAAAATGTGTGAGATAATGTATTAATAACTTAATCATTATTCATGTCATACAATTGTTCTTTTATTTTAACTTTCTCCAACCAAAACATGTATTAGAAATTTATAGAAAGAATCTTACATATATATATAACTCAATTTGTCTATATAATAATTTAGAATGCAATTCAATCAACATGATCCTAAGAGAAGAGTGTTGTTTTGATAGTTAAAGTTGTTTTAATTCTAAGTAAAAAATAAAAAAAGTTTTAACAAGAACCACGCGGGTAAAACCCGTCCCGCTTCGCCTCGACCCACTTTTTAAGCGGGTTAGACAGGACAAATTAATTTAAGATACCGAGCTGAAAACCTCAAAATCCATCAAAAATGGTGGATTAATTAGACGAGTTCGACCTGTTTTATCACCTCTACGAAAATGTTACACCTATCTTAAAAAACTATAAAAGGAAATTATAAGGGAAAAATTTGATCTATATTATGTTATGTTTCTCAATAAGTTAAAAGTAAGAAAATGACTTAAATGTACCATGGAACGTCATTTCCACATGCTTTTGAAACAAGTACTAATCCTGAAATAGAACTTTTAGCTGCACCATACCTTCTTTCTTGAAGCTTTTCTCTACACTACTAAAAATATAACATTCGAAAAAAGGTTTTTATATCAAATATAAAAATATATGATGTGAAAAATATTTGTCAAATAATTTTATATCAGATATTTATTTTCAATGATATGAAAAATATTTGATTTAGGAAAAAATATAATACGGTGACAGTTTGGTAAATAAAATGCAATTTTGTTACAAAGAATTTCATATTGGGTCTAGATTTGTCCTGATGTAAAAAATGCAATAATTAAAAAAATAAAAACACGATAGCAGTTTGGTAAATAAAATGATTTTTGTTATAAAAGGCCATTACATCAGGCCAATTTCCTAACCGATGTAAAGAGCATTAAAACATGGCCGTTACGTCGGGCCATATGCCCAACCGATATAAAAAACGTGGTTTTTTTCACAAAATCCTAATATTCTTTACCATACTGATTCTGCCGCATTCGTCCAACCATCAAACATCTCTTCCAAAAACGTAAACCCCCTTCAACGTTCCATCACGAACACAAATTCTCCATTCTCTTCCATATTCAACCTTTGTCTCATTCGCTTGTATTTATACTTAAGGAGCCACAAGTCTGCGTGAGAGTAAAGAGTAAAACCAAAATCCAAACCAAAAAAAGAGATCACTAGCGGCAGCGATTGAACCAGCATCGATGGATCCAGACGCGTTGGCCAAGGAATTCGTTAAGCGAATGTCAGAAGATTCAAGGCTCTCAGAACATCATCGCCAAACTCACTTCTCTCCCTTTTCAGCAATCATCCATCACTACCGTTGAATGTCAGCCGTCTGGTGTTAACGGTGGAATGCTTGTTTTCGTTAGCGGGAATCTCCAGCTCCCCGACAAACAACATGCTCTTAAGTTCAGTCAGGTATCAACAATCCATGTTTCTGTATCTAGGACTTTTTTTTTTTTAATTTTAGATTTTAGGATTTTTGTTTTTGTTGTTAATGGTTTATGTGATGTTTAGTTTTTTAGATTGGTGATTTTTTTTTTGTTTTGATGGGGTGGATCTAGGTTTTGTTAAATCTCAATTTTGTTAGGTTTTGCTTTATCGCAGTTTTTGAGTGTTGTGAATTTATTTAGTTTAAGTTTTTTATCTTGATGTGATATGATTTTCCAAAGGATTATGTGAGGTTGTTTTTTTGTGTGATTTTGTTGAATCTCTAGTTTGTTTCAATGGTTTTGTGCCTTTGATTGTTGAATGCTTTTAGATTTGGGGTTTGTTTGATTTGATTTATTTGAATTTATCTAAATATCATGTTTAGGTTTTGCTTGAGATTGACTTATTTGAAATGTTAATCAGATTTGTCTCTTTGTTGGATCTATGGTAAAATGTACCATAGTCATGGTTCACTTAGTTCTAAAATGCATTTCTAACATTACTAACATAATGTTATTATAGATTAGAGAGTTCTTGAGCAGCCCGTTTATGGTTAAATTTTAAAATTATTCCAGAATTGATGTATTGTTGTGTTTAAGGTGCAAGTTGAATCTCATTTGTTCACGTATGATTATGTATATAATAGCACATGACAATCTTTGTCTGCGATTTACGTTGATTGTGTCGCGTCGCTTGTTGAAGCACTCTTCAATGGATATAATGCTATTGTTCTTGCATATGGTCAGGTGTAATGTTCAAATGATGTATATTGTATATTTATTAATTATAGTCTAGAATTTTATTGCGAATTGTAATTGAGTGTTTTCCGTTCTCATTTTGTAAGACTGGCTTGGGGGAAACATACACTATGGACACAGATTATAATGGAGACGAAACTAGTGGTGGTTGAGCCCGAAGTTAAAACGAAAGAAGAAATGGCATCACATCTTTCAAGTGGCTCATTGTCACGTGCAACAGGGAGTACTAACATGAATAGTCAATCGAGGTAAAGTGTTAACAAAAAATCTACATTTTTTTAGAATAAATTGATAGAATATTAATAGTTTGGTTTGTATGTTTTGAATAGTCGCTCACATTCTATATTCACAATCACTATGGAGCAAAAGAAGGGGGATGATATCTTATGTGTAAAATATTATGATAGGTTGGTTAATACATTACTGACACTTTGTATTTTGTTATGTATCAGTCGCATATGGAACGAAAGTTGGTTGACACTCTTCTTCTACAAACCCTGTAATTATGAGTTGTTTGTGAAGCAATTTTTGAACATGGAAATGTATATTGTCATAGAAAGGGTATGTGTTTTGACTTCTTTTATAAGATTATTATTATAATATACTAGTATACATGTTTTTAACATACTTGTATTGATGAATTTGACAGAAATTATATCCCCTTCTAGACAGTGATCAAATATACATTTATCCAATGTGCCTTGAAATGTTAATATGGTTATTTTTCAAATTATGAGAGTTCAGGGATTTTGTTTAGTTGATCTTATAACCTCTTTGAGATTGGAGGATAATTATAATCTACTATCGAGAAATTGAGGAACCTTTTAATGAAATATTTTTGTAAATAGTGTTTTTTAATTTTCAAACTAATTTAATTTGTTTGAAAGTATTCATAAACTTAATTTATGGCTTTCACTTTTTTTGTGCATCTTGTCGGTTGTTGCCTTTAGTTTGATGTATATGTTAGATAATTAGGTACCAAAAAAATTAAACGGAATCCATTAATAATTAGTCAATTTTAAAAAAAAAAATGTAGATCTTTTACGTCGGGTCAAACAATTAATCGATGTAAGAAATAGTTTTATTACATCGGGTCAATAATGCAACCGATGTAAAAAATTGTGTTTATTTTTATAAAAAAAATGTTATATTTTTTTCACATCAGACTTATCTGACAACCAATGTAAGAAATATCTTTGATTTACTACATCGCTCGACTTTACATTGAACCTAGACCCGATATAAAATGTGATTTTCAACCCAATATTAATTAGATCACTTTCATTTTCTTAAATTATGTCATTGTTGTGTTAGAGTTAGTGCTTTATGGCTAGTAAATTTATATGCAAATCCATAATCAGTAATTTCACATAATATAGTAGACTTGGAATTATTGCACATGACATCACCCATTGCTAGAAAACTATACGGATAAATAAATTATAAAGTTGAATCACATCAAAACACTTGAAGCAAGAAATTAAAACATTGGAGTTTAAATCATACATACCTTTTGAAAAGTAGTCTCCATCTCATTATAATTTTCAGCCTCAATAATATCTGTAAGGAGTAATCAATCAATTTGTGTACTAAAACGGAAATCGTTGAACACAGTCATTATGAATTAAATGATTTCATAATGGATGTAAAACAGTGACAGTGTAGTGTTTAGTGACCATAAAAAATACATAATTGCATATAATTTAATCCACTAAAACAAATGAATCACAAAGTCGTGAGTTGTCTTCAAAAATTAAGTTTCATTTTTTTGACACAAATATGAATGCTTCATTTAGTCATAACTATATCAGTCAAATATTTAGATAAAAAAATTATTAGTGCACAAAAAAGAAATGAAGACAAAATAGATATATTAAATGACTGTTACAGAATAATAAATAATAAATACATTAATTTATCTACTACTAAGAATAGATATAACAAATACACACAAAGAGATGCATAAAGTTTATTGAATAAATTGTACGCATAGGTACAAGATATAAACACACAGAGATACATAATTTTATTACAGAAATGATAATAAACTAATTATTATGATTGGAAGGTGGGAGACGAGCGGAAGCGGCGTTAGTGGTGGTGGTAGTCACAGCTGCGGCTGGAGTGCAGGGAGGCATCCTGCAGTGACAATTACTCCCAGTACATTGAGGGAGAGTAGCAGAAACGACGGTAGTGGTGATGGTAGTCGCGGCGGCGGCGGCGGCTGGAGTGCAAGGAGGCATCCTGCAGTGACAATTACTCCCAGTACATTGAGGGAGAGTAGCAGAAACGACGGTAGTCGCGGCGGCGGCGGCGGCGGCTGGAGTGCAAGGAGGCATCCTGCAGTGACAATGAGGCCCAGCGCATTGAAGGCTAGTAACCAGACCTCTGGCAGAGGCAGCTTGAACCTGCATTGTTGGAACAGAAGAAATGAGTAAAAGAATTAAAAGAGAAATTGCAATTCCAGTTTTCATTTTTGTTTAAAGTAAGATGGATGTTATGCATTGTTTGAGGCTGCAATTAAGGCTATTTATAGTGCTATGAAATTGATTCATAATGGAAGTTAGGCAGATTTAATTTCTTCAACTAAAATAGAATTGTACTTTAATCCATTTGTTGCATCTTAAAAAGAAATTTAGTGACCCAACAGTACTTGTTTCACATGAGTTTTGCAGAAGAGAGAGCTGAGAGAGAAGAATAGGGTAGATATTCTGCATTTTAACTTATCATTGGTTAATCCAGATTTTGTTTAGATAACATTTCCAAAGGTACACTCACCACGTTTCTACTTCTCATTGGGCAGAGTGAACAAAAGACAACTAAAACTTTGTGAAATGAGACCATAATAATGCAGAGTGAACAAAAGACAACTAAAACTTCCAATCAGCAACATGAACCATTGATAAGAACTGATGTTACACAAATGGTTGACTCAGTAATGCTTATTACTTATTAGAGAGATCATATGCCGGTCAGATCAAGAGATATCCAACAAATAGCAGCCAAGTATAACCGTGTAAGCCTCATTAAATTTACCTAGCAGGAGACTTCAGTCGTGTGAGGTTCATTTGTGTATTATCTCATAGCCAATAGATTAGCACTAGCATAAGCAGAGGGGCTTCAGTCATTTTCATCAATTCACAGAACTGGGAAATAGGGGAGCATTCCAATAACATGCCTCTAGTTCACTGTGGTTGAGGACCTCAAATATTGTCAAACATAGATGTTAGTTTGTTTCCTAATGATCAGTATTAACCAACCTCAATCCATTAGATACATCTTCACAATGCTTCATGTGATGAAAAAGGGAAGTAAAATCAACTGTGTTGTTGGCCATACAATCAATTTGTAGCTGCATGATTTTTGGTCATGACTTGATTGTATGATTTCGAACGAGGTCCACAACTTGTATGAAGATTTTCATAGTTTCGTAGCTTGGATATTAGATATGCGGAAGGTTTATAAGGGGAAGTTTTACGGTATAAGTGAGATTGATACCTACTTAAGCACGATGCTTCATCAAATGCGGAAACTAGAAGTCCATCAAGTAATTGGTCAACCACCATTGTGAGTCATGACTTTTACTCATTTCCTTATGTTATGACCTATGAATTTTTTACAACTGTGTCGTGGAATTTATAATTGGGACCTTAGTCACATTATTGTTATCTTTTATATATATTAATCTAGGTATTTATTGTTATTTTTTCTACCAGGAGCAGTATGACTAATTTGAACTTTCAATTGAAGTTTATACTTTCATTAATATATGTATTTTGTGTTTTTTTTTTAGCAGGAGCAGTATGGTTAGTTTGAACTTTCAATTGAAGTTACATGTTAGATCAAGCTCACAATGACAATCTTGATGATGCAGCCGATGATGAAGAGATGAAGATGAAGTGTCTATAATATATTAGCATTTTGTAATGAAAATTATTACCATTTGATAAAATATTTTTATAGTATTTTTGTTGAATATTTAAAAATCATTTATTTCATATTTTAGTATTATATTTTTATATGAGTATTAAGTGAGATTTTAAAAACATGTTTTTTGGTTATATATATTTTTTAGTATTTAAAAATATTTATTATATTGTATTATTGTTAAATACATTAAAATTATGTGAAATATTTAAGAGATCTTAAAAAAATAGTATTATCACGGGTTAACCAAGAACCTATGAGATTTTAACAGTGGACTGATTTTGAATCTAAACTGAGATTGAACCATACAATCCCCAAACCAAATTTTTTACGCGTTTAGCTTCGAACTCAAATAACACAATCCCCAAGTGGATAATATTCAACCAAAGTGTAAAAAAAAATCGTTAATGAATTTTACAATTCAACCTTACTACTAGGATTTGGTCGCTAAATACCAGTACCGCACTTTTTCGCCTGAAAAAATATGGTCACTTTATTGGTCGCTAATGCGCCTAGTTACCGATTTTCAATGTTTTTCGGTCACTAAAAGCGAAATTTCTAGTAGTGACGGCTAGTTATGGGTTGAATCCCTGGTTTTACGCATAGATTTCTGCCCCCGTGTATTTTGGGCCTGAATATCCAATCCATCCTAAAATATAGACCAATAGCCATCTACTAGGGACATTATAAAAACCCTCTCATTTGAGAGAGTCAGATATCCAATTCTAACCCTAAAAACTCATAAATATATATTTTTGCTCCTACTGACTTAAGCATTTGAGTGTCTTGCAGGTAAAACCCCTTTTTCCTCCCTGGATTCCAGCATTGAAGACGAGGTCTCTGGCCCACTTCAGATTCTGATCAACCGGTAAGATCAACTAGGTTGAGCTGAAACCTAATCTTAGTTTTATCACGGGTTAACCAAGAACCTATGAGATTTTAACAGTGGACTGATTTTGAATCTAAACTGAGATTGAACCACACAATCCCCAAACCAAATTTTTTACGAGTTTAGCTTCGAACTCAAATAACACAATCCCCAAGTAGATAATATTCAACCAAAGTGTAAAAAAAAATTCGTTAATGAATTTTACAATTCAACCTTACTAGTTTTACAAGTTCCTCACTCACAAAAGGATTTTCTCGCAAAAGCACTTCGAAAAAACTTTTAATGTAAGAAAGTAAACAAAGAGAGATTTGAGAGAGAGAGAGAGAGAGAGAGAGAGAGAGAGAGAGAGAGAGAGAGAGAAGAGAGAGAGAGAGAGAGAGAGAATATGTGTGTGAGAAGTGTGAAATGAAACATGGTTTAAGATGATTTGAAATGATGGAAATGACTTATATTTATAGACTAGAGGTTGTCTCTAAAATGAAATTGCTTTTAATGAATTTTAAGACTTGTTAATTGATTAGCACATATTCTATATTGATTAGATACCTTAAAATAATTGATTATTAAGTTTTAAAATATATATATATATATATATATATATATATATATATATATATATATATATATATATATATATATATATATATATATATATATATATATATATATATATATATATATATATATATATATATATATATATATATAGTCGTTACACTTCATTAAGATGTTGTCCTAATCATTTAAGGTGATTTTTTGTTAGACTTTGACGACTTGTCTAGAGAGAGGGAGTAAATAAACACCCAATTAAAAATAATCTTTCAAACATAGGTATTTAAAAATTTATTTGAAAAACAATGTTAAGCGAAAGATTTTTGGCCTAGATCAAAATAGTTGTCTAAACGAACACAATTATTGGAAACTCATATATGAACAAGCCTATGGAATTAAGATAATAATAAAACCAATCACATAATAATATCTCAATTAATGATTTAATTTCAAACACATCGGTTTCCTATTTTCAATGAAATTAAACAAAAATATAGAACATTGCAATTTGTCAAACACTTGGTGTGCATTTGACTTTTCAGAATTTTTAATTTGAGTTGTGTTGATATGAAAAACCACTTTTAATCAAAATGATTATAATCTAATCAACACACCACTTTAAACAAAAAAATTGCAGAAAAATTCTTACGAGTCAATCGATTAAACAATGATGCTCGACAGATTGCATAATGAAACAAAAGCGAGTAAAGAGATAATAGAGAGCGACACAAGAATTTGTTTACAAAGTTCTCCATTATTGTACCCCAAAATTTGCCCTCTCTTTTTTTCCAAGATTTTCTCTTACATGGGTGATTACAAACACTTGCTTAAAGAAAATAAGAATTTTGAAGATAAACAAGGTATCTTTGATTGGCATTTAAATAAGGTATCCTCGATTGGCATTTAAACAAGGTGTCTTCGATTGACATTGGGACAAGGTGTCTTTGATTGGCATCTGAGCAGGTTGTCCTTTAATTGGCATCTGGACAAGGAGCTTCGATCGGGTGCCAAAAATCCTTCGACACAAACTTGGTTCACAAGACTTCGACTAAGCATTGGCTGTTTCATGTCTGATTTGACCCTCAAGGAAATGACTTTCCCTGTGCGTGCCTTCAGCACACAAGGCCAAAGACTTCTTCAGATTTGCCCTCAATCCACTAGGCAAAAAACTTCCTTCGACTCACAAAGAAAATACATCCTTCGTGCCTGATTCAATTCACTGGGGAATAGACTCTTTTATGCTTGCTTTGGCCTCCCTCATGCTAGCATCCACATCTAAAATCCTTAACACACAGTTCTCCACCTTTTGACACCTAGTAAGGCCTATTCGAAGGACACACAAATGATGCCTTCTAAGGACATGAATTTGGTCTAGTCAAAAGACATACAATGGTTGTAAACAATTTTTGCTTGCTGGCCAAAGTCTTGCATACTGTCAGGCCCAAGCCTTCTGCATAATCACATTCGTGACAAAAGAATCTTCGACTGACCAGAAAAGAGCTTTCGATTGGGTTAGTTGAAGAGTTTCAGATCAAGCTAATAAGGAAAATAATAGCTCAATCGAAGGCTACAGTGATGAGGCCCGGGGCAGTTCGAAGGAAGGTGAGGAGGCTTCTATAAAGCCTTTGGTTGATAAAGAGCTGAAGCAACATTTGACCAGTCAAAGAGGAAGAGTTGATGCTTCGATTGGTTTGAATTGAAAGAAAGGCAATCGAATAAAGTAATGCTTGGGGGTTGATCGAAGACATTTTGGTGAAGAAAATACTGAGTAATTTGAATTCGTACAAGGTGCCAATGCAAGGTGTCCAGGTGCATTCAAGGATGGAAATGGCATGAAATCTTCATTTTTGGCATTTTTTCAAATTATAATCAGGGCTTTAAACAACATAGTTATGGATTGGATTCTCTCCTTATTTCCTTGCCTTCTCCATCTCCTCTATAACTACAACCTTCCTGCAAGCATTAGACACATACACATACTGCCTCATACACGCAGACGCTGCCTCAGAAAAAGCATACTAAATTCTAAAAATTTCATATTTCGAAACTAGTTTTGCAGGTACCCTCATTCCAAGCTAGTAAATCACGCCTTGATCCTGAGATCTCCAGAGGCATCTCCAACACCACAGATTCATACATTACTGTTGGTAAGGAAAAAAATGTAAAGAATCAAATTTCACCTTTTTTGCATGTCATATTAATTTGCATTCAGAATCGAAGGACCTGGGTGTGACATGTAACACCCCAATTCTACCCTGGAGAATTGTATAAATAAATCAGAGTTATAAAAATTATTCATGCAAACGAATCGGGATGCCACAAATTCTTCTATCAAAATTCATTACATTC